TTATTCAAATGCCACTTGTGGTCAACGCAGTTTTGGAAGTAGCTGCAGTTCATTCTGTTTTTGCTGGTTGCAACTTGGTACCATTTTCAGTATTGTTAAAATTATTTTTGAGATATTAAAATGCAACAGTATAGTTGGAAGTTTGTGTGATCTCATTTTCAATAAAAAAACAGCACAAATATAATTTTGAGGCTCAGAATATGGTCATGGTAAAATAGCCAATTATTCAGTTATAGTTCACTCCTCTGGCACCATAAAGATTCCCTCCAATGTCCCACAGTCTCTTTATACTAAGGTGTCAGATATGACCAGATCAATTTGGCATTAACAATGTTATCAATGGAAAAGAATCAATCATCTGTCATACTTTATATACACTAGATTAGAGGTCAGCAAACTATGCCTTGTGGGGTAAGTCTGGCCAGCTGCCTGTTTTCTTGTAAGCTAAGAATGGTTTTTACATTTTTAAATGGTTGAAAAAAAATCAAAGTATTTCATGATATGTGAAAATCATATGAAATTCAAGTTTTAGTATTCCGTTTTGTTGGAACAGTCACACACATTTGTTTCTGTATTACCTATGTCTGCTTTCACACGGAAATGGCAGAGTTGAGTAGCTCCAATAATGAATGTGTGGCCCACAAAGCCTAAAATATTTACTTGATAGAAAATGTTTGCTGACTCCTGCACTAGATCTAAGTGGGTCCTAAGAGGTATTGAAGTTTCCTATTACAGATTTTTGTGTTTCTAGATATTAATACTTGGAGAAGGGTGATGCAGCTGGGATAGTATTTGTAAGTATCTGTTCAGTCAAAGACAGAGAACAAAAATACAGGAGGGCAGCCTTGGCTAGGATGTAAAAACCTGGTAAAACATGGGAGGTGTAATCCAACTGAAGAAGCTGTTGGAGAATACAGGGTAACATAGAGTTTCAGCAGCAAAGGAAGATTCTTACTAATAGAGCCACATGGGACCCTGGTGAGACCTAATCCTAAGGGAGCCCAGTGGGGAGACTTGTTGGCCATATTAGCAGAGTGGTATATGCGATGACTGAGCGGGGTATGTGATGTTGAGATGACTGACAGACAGTTCTCCAGGGGTATTCCACCCCTTTATTAGATGTCCTCAAGTCATTTAACATCTAGATTTATCTGGGCATCTCCAGTGGCAAACCAGGACTTGGACTGAGAAATGAATCTGAAAGGAAGGCTCTGGAAAGCAGGCCCCTGGGACACATACTTCTCCAACAATGTTGGAATAACATTTCAAAGAGGATTCAGAGCCAGGAGCCAGAATTCAGAAGACTGCACAATCATCCAAATATTTTTGGAAGTTAAAGATTTGGTGAATACTTTAATCTGTTCTTGATCATTAGCAATGGGGCAGGTGGAGCCCTGGTGGCACAACAGTTAAGCACCTGGCTGCTAACTGAAAGGCTGATGGTTAGAATCCACTTAGCAGGTCTGCAAAAGACCTGGTGATCTGCTTCTGTAAAGATTACAGCCTAGAAAACTGTATGGGGTTTGCTAAGTCCCGTGTGGTCACTAGGAGTCGACACTGACTCTATGGCACATAACAAGAAGTGAAACAAGGAGGATGGTGGTGGTGAGGCACTGGGTGGTGGGTGAATTGGGTAAGATCAACAATGGGATGATCTGCCCAAAAGGTCTATTCCTACTGGGCTTTCAGCTGTGCCATATAACATTTCATGTAGATTCTGAAATCAAGTAAGAGGGTATGAATAGGGGAGAAACTTGAAGGCCAAAGAGATTCAATGACTTCCTGTTGAGCTTGAGAATTATGATCAAGGTTTACAGATGCCAGCTCTTCCAGCTTCCCAGAGAGCCAGGCTTGATTTCTTATGATTAGGTGGAGCTTCTCCTGCTAGGGAAGATACAATTGCTAGAACAGGATCTGGATATTATATCTGAAAAACTTTCATGACTCTTGAGTATGAGAAGTACCCAAATTGCCCCCTTAAGAAACTGGTTAATCCTGGTTCTCTAGAGAGGGGAACAGATGGTTAAGAGTCAGAGGTAGGAGAGAACTTTTTTTCTCACTATATGCACCTTATGTTGTTGTTGTTATGTGCCATTGAGTCGGATGCGACTCATAGCTACCCCTCCTTGGGCAGTATCACTACAGAAGTGGATTGATTGCCCAACCTTCCGAGGAGTGGCTGGTAGGTTTGAACCGCCAGCCTTCTGGTTAGCAGTCAAGTGCCTTACAGAAAAATAAAAACAAGAGCACGTTCCCCCATGTTGCCTCACCTACTTCTTAGGGATAGGAAGGTAACATGGGTCAGGGCTGGGGCAATTTCCTAACTCAAGACTATGAGGCTGAGATAGGGTGCTGGAAGAGGGACCTAAAAATCAGAGACAGGAGTTGTAAGTGGCAAATCACGATCAAAAGGGCAATTCACGCCAAAGGGGCCAAAAGCAGGCACTGGAGATACGGTCCAAAACCAGAAAAAAAGTACCAGGCAAACAGAGGAACAAGAGCAAACTGGTGAAATAAATTGAGAAGTGTCTGAGAAAAGCCACGGATTAGCACCTGGGACATGATGCATGGGTAGATCACTAAGACACCTGGGCAGCAGGGTACAGGCCAGGGCAAAATTCCTATGGGTGAGTACCTAAGACTTAACATTATATCAGAACTCTATTGTTGGGGATAATCAAAAATCATATTCTAGCCTCGTATTTAGTGATTCTGAGCAGCCATGTGAGAATGGTTTGCTCTAGATGAGTTGTAGGGCAGTAATTTTACTTTCCTCAAACCTGAGGTATCCTTTCTTATCCCACTGGATATTTTCTGGGAAACTTGCAAAGGAGCAATGGGTTCTGCTCTTAGTTCAGCCTGACTACTACTCAGAGGATGATCCAAAGTAATAAATCCTTTTCACTACAGCCACTTTGGACAATTTTAATTCACACTCCTGATTCTGTTGCTCAACGTCCAAAACCTGTCTGAAAGAACACTGCCTCCAGTATCCTACATTTCAGCATGAGTCTTGGTTCAGCATCTCTGGCAGGGTCACTCCAGCCTTGCACACAGAACTGGAATAAAATCCAGAAATAAGTTCTCCCAGGACCTCTGTTTTAAGGTGAAGATAATACTTGTAGGTACTGTTGTGGGATCCTAGACTGGAACCAGGAGCATACAATCGTGCAACAATTACTACTGACCCAAGCAAGGATTAATATGAGGTTCAGCAACCTGCAAAAGTTAACTCTGGGGGTTTTGTTCCTGAAAGGCAGTGTCCCTAGGGACAAGTGATTGTGGGAAACTCAGGGCCTCTCCTGATTTAGGAAGACTTGATGGTCCTGAAACACAATGTATGGAAATTGCTCAGTAGGTGGGGGCAGTTGCTTGGTTTAATAGTTTTCTTGCACAGCATGTTTTATTTGTGGGACAAGATCTAGCTTTCAGGTTGCCTTAAAACTGACAGATTTTAGTTGATAACTCGTACTTTTTTTGAAGGGGATAGAGACAGTGAAAGAAGAGAACTAAAAGTAACTGATTTGAATACATATGTATTGGGCCTCTACAACCAATATTTTACTTCCTTATTAAATAATAGATGTGATGGGAAAAAATCCTTGGGTAAAACATAGATAGAAACTGGCCCAAATGCTATTCCCCCTCTCTATCCCCTATCAGGCATTCTGAGATGTTTCATCTATGTGGCATTGCCTGATACCCACCTGGGACAAATCTATCCCATAAATCTTGTCAGAGAGGCAGGGAAAGGTGAGAGAAAGCAGAGTTTGAACTTGCAGAGACTGCTTTTTTGGGTTCAGTGGAAAAATTAGATAATAAAATATGTAGGTTATTAACCTATCCATAGACTCAGGAGAAGCAAACTACTGGCACAGATTTTGGGATCAAGGTGAGGAAGTAAATTATCCCAAATTGTTCACCTGCAACACCATTACTTCCCTTTTAGACTTCACAATTTCTGCCAATAGAGCATTATTTTTCTACTGACACAGGTTCAAAGCCTTATGCTATCCCATCTGCCTAGAAGCTTTCCCTAATTTCCTCACCTCTGGTCTAAGACCCACCCTTCCTTAGGGACTCAACTGAAGAACCACTTCATCCATGAAGTCTACCTAACCCTTGGTGGTCTTGTTTTATAACTCTTATCATTAATACCCAGCAGTGTTCTGAACCAAACCAAACCAAACCACCCTCATAATACAGATGTTACTCAGTAGTAATAGGCTGCTGTGTGGGAATCAACCCACATAACTCTAATTCAGGGTTTAGAATGGCACCTGACCACCTCCCCACACATTACAGTCTAGGCCTTATCCTTGGTATATATTTGCTAGGGCCAGATGCTCTTTTTGCAGCAGAGGGGATGCCCAAATGAATGTGAGTGCAAAGGACTAGAATAAAACCAACCCAGGTCTTCTGTTAGTGGCAGGCAGGTCTGTAAGTACATTATTACTGGTGGCCAAACTGTCAGTTTTGAGGGGCTCCCACTTAGTCATTTGGGCCAGATCAGATCCTTAGGCCCAGCACAGCTCATTAAGTCAGCATGCCACTGACTTCTACCATACTTCAGGCCCTGATTGCAAAGCAGGCTGGAACTGTAGACCTTTGTGGTCCTCCCAAAGAGTACGCCTCCCTAGGCAGACATACACACTCCAGGGGGTCCTGTCCCTACCTCTCACTGGCATGGTCTCCTGAGGCAGAATGTTGAGAACCAAGGACAAGACAGCCACAACAAGCTAAGGTCTGGGCAGTGAAGAGATCCAAATTTGTTAAGCAGAAGAAATCAAGAATATGTAAGTACCAGAAGTCAACAGCCAAGAGTTCTTCAATGTTGTGGAGAACAGCAAGGAAGATGGCCCAATAGTCCAGCAAAGAGTAACTAGGAAGGCCATGACCTAGAAGGAGGACTGGTAGAAAAGACAATAGATAAGCAACAAATGAAGGTGCGTAACATCAAAGCAGCTTCCTAGCTCAAGTCCAGCTACCTTATATTCCTTTCACCATGGTGTGAACCAATCTTGAGCTACCCTAGTGGGAAGGCTTGCTGAAGATGAAGCCTGCAGAAGCTGGCTGACAGTGTGGTGGGTTCTGGGACCGGATACTGGAAGAGGCATTTCCCGACCAGCTTCACTCTGGAGATGACTCCATGTTTCAGAACTTGTTACCTTTTTCCTCACAGATGAACTATTTTTCCTGGTTTCCTTTGAGAAATCAGACTGAAAGTCAAATTTTCCAGGTTTAGAGTCATTCTTCAAAATACCCGATAGAACTTTTGCAGACACTTTCCTCATGTTCAAGTTTTCTTTCAGAATGAGTCTAACAGTTTCTTTATCTAAATTTAACTCTTCAGCCATCATCCTCACTGTCAGGTGCCTGTTTGAACAAACCAAGTCCTTGACCTTCTGAATATTTTCATCTGTCCGGTGGGTGACTGGACGACCACTTCGTGCATCATCTCGAACATCTTCCCGCCCTTCTTTAAACCTTTTGTGCCAGTCAAAAACTCTGGCCCTTGACATGACTTCATCTCCATAAGCTTCTTTTAAAAGATGGTGAGTCTCACTTGCAGACTTGTTCAATTTCACGCAAAATTTGATACTAATCCTTTGTTCTAAATAACGGTCACTCATTTCGGCACTTGAGCAAAACAGGAATGGTAACAGGCCACGATTGTGAAAGGAAGACTGAGGAACAATTTCTATAGGGCCTAAGGCAGAACCATGTCGCTATTCCTGCTCCTCTGGAAGGCTCACAGAAAAATTACCTCTAATCATTTTTACGACACAGAGTAATTGTTTTCCGAGTGTTTGCTCCTCAGCTTCCAGTTGAGGTTGGGGAGGCCTGCTCTCAGAAACTAAAGGTACCAAAGAGTAGCTGCAAAGCTGAGGAAAATGAAATTTCCTACAATCTACGTCTGCGTCCAACCTGTGCCGCAGCTCTGCCGGGAGTTTGCAAGTCAGTCACCAAGGTCATCACGATTCCGCGGCTCTTACGACTCTACGGCAATTTCTGCAATAGAAGTCTAAGCAGTGGCAACTTATGCAAGCAAAAATAGATGCAATGGTGATGTAACGTGCAAGCTCACCCCAGATCTGCAGAGACCCGCGCACACCAAGCCTACCGGAGCTGCCTGAGACTGGCCCGCCCTAGAGTCTCAGGGGACACACCCGCTTGTGCAATTCCCTCCCCTCGCGAGTTAGGCCATGCGCACGCGTACTGCAGGAGCTCCGCGCCAGGCCCCGCCTTCTCCTCTCCACACCCCAGGCAGGCGCGCTTTCTTGCGCGTGCCCGCCAGTGGAGAAGTCGGCGGAAAGGAGGGGGCGGGGAAGGAAGACGAGGGAAGAGAGGGCACCCCCGGGCGCCAGGGTGCATTGTGGGAAGGAGGCGGCAGCGTCCCGGGCGGGCGGGAGGTGCACCAGCGGCGGCGGCGGCGGTAAATCCTCCCGGCCGCTCACAGCACTGTGGAGCCGCGTCCCTAGCCCGGCCTCGGACCGCGGCGCCCCTCCTGCCCCTCGCGGCTTCTCGTCCGCCCGCCCCTCCCCTCGGCGCGCCGGCCCTGCAAGCCGGCCGGCCGGCCTGGCTCCCCTCCCCGGCCCCGACGGGCGGGCAGGCTGCCCTGAGGAGGCGGGGAGGGGAGATCTGGGCCGGCCGGCGGAGGGGCGACGATGCCGAACTTCTGCGCTGCCCCCAACTGCACGCGAAAGAGCACGCAGTCGGACCTGGCCTTCTTCAGGTTCCCGCGGGATCCTGCCAGGTGAGCAACGGGAGCCGAACTGGTAGTCTCGTCCACCTCCGCGGTGCGCGCTGCCAACCGCTGGCCCCGGCAGGCTGCGGGCTGAGGGGGGCGTAGGAGATCAGTGTGCCGGAGTCGACCCCAGCCTTGGACCCTGATAGGGAACAGCCGCGAGCGGCTGGCGGGCGGGCGCCCGGGACCTCAGAGCACGTGCGTCGGTGGGGGCTCAGCGCGGAGGACACCACCCGAAATAAGAGGCAGTTGGGGTGGCGCGCGGAGTCGGGATAAGGTGGGTCTCTCCTTGGTTAACTTGCTGTGTGATCTCGGGTAAGTTACTTTTCCTCTCTGGGCTTTAGTTTTCTCAGCTGTCAAGAGGCCCTTAAACGTTGGTTGCGGTGACCGGGGCCCTTCCCTCTCCTTGCTACCCCCCACTGGACAGTGTTTCTATTTGGAGTCCAGCCATCTACTTTGATCTCAAGTCAAGTCAGAACTACTCCTCTCTCTGGACTTGTCATAGCATGGTTCAAATTCTAGCTCTGACCGGCGTGTTATCTCAGTAGGTTATTATGGGGATAACGGGTTAAGCCTGAGGCCACGGGAATTGATGCTGAAATGCCTTCCTTGGGGAAACCCACACACTCTGACTAATGTTTAGAGAGTTGATTGTGTAGGGTCTGTGTGTGAAAGGCTGAGGCTATTTCATAGGCCTCTGTTGTTGACTCATTCATTTAAAACCCATGGGCTGCTATGTGCTGAGCGTGTAGGGTTTTATTTATATATATATATATATATATATTTATATATGTTAACCAAACAATCCCGCTGCCATGGATTTGATTCTGACTCATAGCAACCCTCATTGGGTTTCCAGTGGGAGTAGATTGCACCATCTTCCTTCTGCAGAGCGGCTGGTGGGTTTGAACCGTCTGTCTTCTGGTTAGCAGTCAGATGCATTAGGCACTGCGCCACCAAAGTTTTTATATATATATATGTTTACATACATATGTATACCACAAAAACCAAACTCACTGACGTCAAGTCGATGCCCATTCATAGTGACCCCTTCTTGGGTTTCCAAGGCGGCGGTATCTCTACGGAAGTAGATTGCCCAATCTTCCTCCCGATATTTATATATGTATATGTGTGTGTGTGTATATATATGTGTGTGTGTGTGTATATATAAATACATACATACATGTATATATGTATGGGGATCTCTGGTGGCATAGTGCCTAAGGCATTTGATTACTAACCAGAAGGCTGGTGGTTCAAACCCACCAGCCACTCCTGGGAAAGACGGTGGGGCAATGTACTTCCGTCGTGATGCGGCCTGGGAAACCCAAGGAGGGGTAGCTATGAGTCGCATCCGACTCCACGGCAGTGAGTTTGGTTTGGTTGATATATGTATATGTAAAACCAAACTCACTGCCATCAAGTCGATTTCAACTCATAGTGACGCCCATTGAGTTTCCTAGGTGATAAATCTTGCAGAAGAAGATTGTCATATCTTCCTTCCGGGGAGCGGCTAGTGGGTTTGAATCCCCGACCTTCTGTTTAGCAGTCAAATGCCTTAGGCATTTCGCCACCAGGAGCAGACAAAGAGAGGATGGATAGGTAACATGTCCGAGGTCCCACAGGAGTATCTAAAACCCCCAAGAGTATAACATTATATGTAATATTACCCAAATTTATTTGACCACAGATTCCTTTTATTAATGAAACAATTCTTTGACTAGTGTTCCTTGGAATACATTTTTGGAAATGCTGCAGTCATAGGAGTCCATTGAAGGAAAGTTGTTTTTTTCTTAAAGGTCACTGAGTAAGGTTGAATAGTACTCAAAGGGCCGTTAACATAAGGACAGAAAACTGACTATTGGATTTGGTCTGATGGAAGTGAGTAGTAATCTTGAGCAGTTTCAGTGAAGAACAAATGGAGCAGAAGCCTCCTTGGAATTGAGGGGAGAATGTGAGATAAAGAAGTGGATACAGTAAAAATGGACTTTTAACTAGTTTTGCTATGTTGATTATCAAGGCAGAAGGGAGGTACTTGGGCTTGTTTATGAAAATGGGAATAATCCAGTGGGATATATACAGGATGTACAGAGACCATATATGGAGGGGTAGATAGGAATCTTACCTACTTGTATAAATATGTGTCTGTAGTACATATAAATATACACATATGAATCAGTTTACCCCAAGAAATGACATTTGAGCCAAGGTCTGAAGGCTGAGTTGGAGTTAATAACTATTCAGAGTAAGTGAGAAAAATCACAGAATAAACTGGGGAAAAGGCCCTAAGGATAGACTTGAGCACAATGCT